AGAGGACACAACAATGCTATTTTATTACCTATATGTATATGTATAAAGATCACTATAAATTATACTACAACTAACACCAATTGTATAGTCCGTTTAACTAAAACAAAAGATGTATTTCTCTAAATCATTTGTCTCCGGTACAGTTAGACATGGGAATAAATGGTGGAAAATAGAATCTTAGAAATGAGGTGAAAGTAATATGACCTATCGTGATAACTAATGACTAACACCTTTTTGATTGCTAGTTGTATAAAATAAAGGTTGACTAATAATTATTATAAATCTTGTAACAGAAAACGCCTACCATACCACGACACAAGAAAATAGAGAATTACTAGAACAATGTACGTCCTTATTTTGGGTGTCACTCTTGTAATGCGAACCTGACAATTTTGAGGTTGTATGACGTCATGCAAATGTAAATGCTCACCTAAAAATTACATCTCTATAGACTGTAGTATAGTATCTATATTCACGACAGCGACGACCAGTTTCGCGATAAATTAAGTAGGTATTTAATAATCGATTTTAGAGCTTATCACTTGTAGCGGTGGAGGTGGGGGAGGGAGGTAGTACAAAGAATAACAAAATAAGAATCTATAATATAATAATAATAATCTCAACTCTTAAACTTTTAAATTATAAAATAAGTTTTAAATCTTGATTAGAAAATATTTTATTACCAATATTATTTTATTATCACAATTTTTTTAAATAAACAAAAGCTAAAATTTGATCTGAAAATGTTTAAAAAAAAACTTTATGAAACATCCATGTAGTATATTGTCATTCTAAAAGAAAGTTTGTAAATAAAAGTTATTTTATAATTATATTTGAATTTTAAAACTTAGAAAAACTAATTAAATGCATTTAATATATTCAGTTTATCAAAGAAAAAATATCCACGCATAGTACATTGATTCATAAATTTAATATTGTACATAGGTACCTTTAAATACGTATATATATATATATATTTATTTATTAAGTATATGCTTTGCTTCTTAAAAATGCCAACAAATCGAAATACTTTTAACATTTATATGAACGACTTAAGAAGAACTTTATATTACTTATACTAATTAAACACAATAATATTATATCATTATTTAAATTTCTTTTGAGAATGTTTATAATGACATTAGAAGAAACAATTTAAAATGGTCGTTCTATTTTATATTCTGTATCTATACCAAGCAAAATTTCATTAAACTATGTTAGTAATTATACATTTTTTTTTTTTCTTAACGCTGCAAGATTTTTGTATATATTAACCAATTTAACAATTTATTCAAACTTTGAACAATTCAATAAACACTTACTATTAGTGAATTAAATTTATAGTTGTGACAAACTTTATCAGTCTTAATAATTAATTATAATAATAGAAAAAAATAACCTTGAAATATCAATTTTGGTATTTTGGTGTACACACAAAATAACTACAAATAATTAATATCACAACTAGAACTTTTAAAAGTGCTTAAAACCCAAAATACTAAATATATTTTGTGTGACTGTGTCATATAATTACAGGTAATCATCAACTAGGTATCATTGTGTCACAACACTGTCATCATCATTCATAAGAAATAAAAATAGATATTATCTTTATATTTAACTATTATAAAGGTCAAATATGTATACATAGTTATACATAGTAGCACTTAACTACGTTATAATTTAAAGGTATAGGTTCATTTTTACGAGTTGTGAGTTATGACATAATTATATTTAATTATCATTTCCATTCCTATTTTGATAAGGCTGAGCCACATAAAACATTTTTTTAATATTACAATAAAGTTACCTACCATAACTTTGTATTTTTTTTCTTATGGCCAAGCATATAATATATATATATATATGTATTTACTAATCCCTAATAGTTTTCTATAGCCATAAAAAAAAAATAAATAATACTTGTTTGTTTAGGTAAATTATTTATGGAAGTTAAATATTGATATATAATAATTAAAAGAGAACATATAGAATTAACGTAAGTATAATACAGTCGTAAAATACTTTTAGGTGAACTTACCAATTGCATATCGTATCAAAAATAGCAATAATTATTATATTATCTAAATTATATTTGTGTGGTCTGGTGTGGCGTGGTGGTTGGCCTCAGTCACTATGTGTTCTTATTTACCATCATGTATGCTTCAGAAAATTGTTCCTTGTTCACAGAACTTTAATACCATAAATTATAATATATTATCTTGTTATGTAATAACTGCGTATATTCAATTTATGGTAAAATTTTGAAATTTACCAAACTAATATAAACATATTTAATCTATTTTATTTCATATTCAAAATAAATAAATAAATAAATAATAGAATTTTTTTTTTTTATTATTATTAGTATATGTTAACTAATTTTTATTTACCTTAATTTAATCATTACAAATTATTATTTAATTTACTTCCTTAAAAAATGTTTTCGCCCATCATGGCTCGAGTAATTATTATAAAATATAGAAATAAAATTCAATAATTAATAAATTATTTTTAAAATGGACTACCTACGACGATATGTATAAAAAAACTGTAAACTTTCTTTGCTGGAATATAACAAATTGTTATAAAATTTAAAATTCATCTTTTACCATTACGATTAATAAATACATTCTAACATTCGTTATTATTACCAAAAGAGATTGTGATAGTAACATTTTACATGGAAAATATTTTGTCAAAAGATTATGACGATCTTGAATTACAAAATAATTGATGATAAAATTATCTAAGTTTTAGTGATGAAATTTTATGATTTTTATCTATCTATCGTTATGTAATACCTGACAAAAAATTGTATTTAAAAAAACATTTTATTAACTTTAAATCGTAAAAATATACATGCATATACAGTGAATCATTAAGGAAAAGAGAATTGCTATAATGCTCACAACCAACCCTTAGTTACATTATAAGTTAAATTTAATAATAATTTTTCCTACTATTTGTTTATCAAAATCATATCTAATAGAAAAATTTAATTTAATGAGTTCCATTTTTTTTTTTTAATTCGACAACTTAACTTTTACCTGATACTATTCATATACAGTAAGCATAAACGTAAACAGTAGATTATATATCGTGGTAATATTTCAGAAATAATGAAACATATATAATTATAATATGTGAGTGTATTGAGTGTAATTGGCTGTCAATCATTGTCATGAGCGATGACAGTTTTTCGTGACCGACTCGCTGACACTATTATGGTCAGAATAGTTTCTTTACAACATAGATAAATGTTTCATTAACTTTCTTCAAACTTCATAAATGGGTTTTCGAATCCTAATTTATATAATTTTAAGTAAACTAGTGATGTAATACCATTGATTATAAATACTAGTATTTATAACCAATGATAATATAAACGCACGGTGAAAAACATGTATTCACTTAGTTATAAAAATTGAATTAATGATATTAAAAATAATGGTTGCTGAATAACTCTAATACATATTTCCAACGTTAAGTATATAGATAAATTCATATTTTAATAATAAAATTACGCAATATGCTTGAAATAGACAACAAATAAATAATTACTCATTTACACAAAACATAATATATTCAAAACATTTGTGAAATATTGGTATTATTGAAACAAAGTGTATCACAGTACCATCCGTACCTAGTTTAATGTAAATAGGATCTCAAAACTATAAGTGAGCAACATTTTATGGACATTCACCACAATGATTTAAATTTAAACAATAAATCAACGATTTTATAGTCATAGTGACTTTAATAAAACACATTCGCGCATTTCTAATACACAACAATTATTAAAATAATTACTTTATGATTATACAAAAACCCATTTTGTATATTCTAAATTATGTTTAAAATCTAAAAATACGTCAATTTTTTCAAATAATAGAGCAGTAAATTAAACTACTTAACCGATGACCATTTGGCCTTGTAATGAACAAATAAATTACAGTTTTAGACTTTTAGTGCTTTGAAATCTGTTAATGTAATGAAATAATTGTATTAAAATACTAAATCACTTAATGAAATAATTTATTTAAACAATATAAAACATAGAAATATAAAATGAATTATTATTTATTACTAAACAACAACAATTCTGCAAAATAATAAAATATGTTTATTATAAAAAACATATGTCTACACTAGGCTATAGATTTTATAAATAGAAACTCTCTTTAATACGTTTTAAGGATTACCTTTTAAAAATACAAAGCTGAAATATAACTGCTTCAAACATGTGGAAAATATGATTTTGCCGTTTAAATTATTTATATTATGTATATCTATGAAACGTTTAAATAAAAATGAAAATTGATAATATAATCTGAAAAAATTAGCCATCGAAATGTTTAATAGAAATTAATAATACGTAGACCTTATTATGAATACTTAATAATATTATATTTGTTGCGTATTGAAGTCAGAGATATTCAAAGAAAGAAACGTATATTGTTATAAACTATGATAATTGTATAATGACAGAACGTTCAAATGTTATAATATCTATATTCTATATGTTACTAATGATTGTAATCGTCAAATAAATTGTTATTTAAATTAAAAGTTTTGTTCAGGGGCATTATGACACGATAGACGAGAAATAAGAAGATAAATGGAGATATTATAGATCTTTACACCGCCTGTCGCCTTCATATGCCGATGTTCATGGTTCATTTTTATTTTGTTTTTCCAATATTACACATATTAAACAGCATACCTACCATTCTTTACAATAATAGCAAGAAGTTATCACACAATCATGTTCGCGTAACTTTTATGAATAATTTAAAGTTTGTAATAGATTTTAAGAGATAATGATTTATCGATATTAAAATAATTAACACCAAATCGATACAAAGTATTAATACATTTTACGTATATACTATTATGAGGTTATTATTATTATTTTTTTTTATATTGAAATAAAAGAATCTAATTTTAAAATTATGTTTTATTTCATGTTACCCGCAAACAACAATATTTAATAGCAAGGGCGAACACCACTACATTCCGCGTGCGAAAAAGGCCACGTCGATGTGGTCGAATTTTTACTCGGGCACGGTGCCGACATGTTGGCAAAGGATGAAGAACAAAATAGTCCACTGCACGTGGCAGTCGAAAACAAACAAACGCTCGTTGTGCAAATGTTGTTGGAAGCAGGAAATCCGACAAACTTGGAAAACAGTGTAAGGAATTGGTTTTTCATTTTCTATACACGTTATATAATACGATAAATACTGGACCAAAACCTACAATTTTGACATGTATACCTATAATATATTTATTATCTATATGATATACTCCGTTAATATATACGATAGTGACAATATCAAACCAATATGTATTATTAATTATAATACGAACATTATGACTCGCGTGGTCGCCGAAAACTGCTAAACAAATAAAATAAAATAGATTATATCATTATTGTTTATTACCTTTACTAATACTTACCGGTTATCGATTTCCTCGCTTGTATAAAGAACATCCGACAGCAAGACGTGCATTATCTTAAACGCGGTTTTGGTTGAATCTGTGTACTGATATTATACTTTACAATAGTATTATTATAAATTTCCTTCACTTCGGATTATAACTCACTGTCCTCACTGAGCATATTAGGTATTCAAATTGTTGATAATTCTTTAAAAATAATTTGCAATATTTGTATAAATTATTATTATTATCACTTTACACACGTGAAAACGTGTACAAACTATATTTAGTTATAGCTTATGCTGCCCATAGCGTAGCATATCTGAATCTATATGATGATAAGATTTTATTTTTCTTAGCATCGTCATAATTCAACGTCATATTGTTATCACCGTCCTATGGGTTTTCGGTGTTGGCATTCTCGTAGAGGTATAATATAGAGTATTGCCCCGAGGACCGTCTTTAAGTTATTCTGTCATCTATTCGAATATGACTCTCGTTTCATAACATACGAGTCGATATCAAAAATCTAAAATATAATATATAGTGCTTTGACTTGATGCAAAACGACAAAAATATATTTTAAGCAGTCTAGTTAGTGTGGTATTCCCAGGCATCGCGTCATGGACACAAAAATGTTGCGTATTATACATTATACATTATACATATTACATATTACATATAATTATTTTTCTTCTTATTTTTATGATTTTATTGCATTGGTCGATTGTCGTGCGATATTATTCTTTAAATTTATTTTTTATAAAACAATGAATTACTGGTATAATTCTATGAAATGAGGGTCTCTGGTCTCGTCAAAAATAAAATAAATTACTCACAACAATAAATAGGTACATATTTTTATTCTTTAAATATCAAACACTTAAACCCTAAAACATTGTGTTTATGAAAATAATAAACATTTGACATAGTGAATATTAAAAAACTTAAATGTAAACTGTTTAATGTTAAACATTCATTTTTTTCAAGTAGGTATAGGACATAGGTAAAATAGGTATGCAATATCACATATCTTTTAAAGTGTTTTATTACTTCTGAACACATATAATATACAATACAAATAAGATAATTTGCATTTAATTACTTAAATATACCGTAGTTCTCTGAACATGTTTGATAATTTTATACAATAATAAAGTATTTACTTTTAAATATTCTCATTGTATTTTAAAACGCAAAAGAAAACATAAATTACTTTTGTTATTGTTTTAAAATGATAATAAATTATGAAATAAAATATAATATTTGAAATACTTATTGTTCATAAATCTATTTTTATGTAGTTATAAAATATATAATTCTAACAATTGGTAATTTAGTATAGTTTAAAAAAAAAAAATTGTAATTCCAAATCAACAGTCAAACATACAAATCTATTGATATGTAAAGGAATCGCTAGATATGCTGACCCTCTTTTTCTTTTTCAACGATGTAATTATTTAAAATCTGTTTTTTTAACTATGTTTATAAACAGTACTCAAATTATTGAAATTTTTTTATACTACATAAGAAGCATCCTTTGGCGATAAACTTCTGTTTATCAAATAAGACATTCCTCTCTTTTTTATAGTGATGATTAAAATTGGTCTTGGTCTTTCGGTCTTGCAAGACTACGACCAAGACCAAGACCAAGATTAGGTTTGCAAGAACAAGACCAAACCAATACCGAAGCTGCAAGACCAAGACCAAAACAAGACTATCACTGCAAGACTCTTGCAGTCTTGCAAATTTATTTTTTCCCCGAAAACACATTAGTGTATCTAGATTTCATTAACTAATAATGTATAACTAGAATAATAAGAAATTATTTTTATTGTTATTAAATTTGATCAGTATTTGAGGAAATGGCGAATTATTGAAAAAAAGATTAGAAATAATTGGAATTAATATTACAAAATAACATTGTTGTTTCATACTAATTAGCAATTACTGAAAAATAATGCACTATTCTAAATTTATAAATGATTTAAGTTGTTTTTTTTTTTTTTTTTTAATAAAATTTTAAAACTAAATAATAAAAAAAAACTTATATTTAAAAGATGTTGTCTACCAAAAATATTGAATGCTGGAAATTAAACGGTTGTCAAAATTTTAAAATTATTAAAATTTTAATTTAACATTATTATTAATATTATAATTTACCTCATTTTTAACACATTTTAATTATTGTGGGTTGTACAAAATAGTTTTATTTATTAATGTGGGTATGCACTTTATCTTAAATACAATGTTACTACTTAACTTAGTTGACATTAAGATAATTAAAAACTTTTTGTAAAAATAAAATGTACCTAATAAGATTTACACAAATGGTCTATAGCTAATATATTATATTAAAAGAAACTTAAAAATTTAGTACTACTATACTGGACACTGGTGAATAAAAGAACAATAAAAGTTTAATAATAAATATTATCATTATAACAAATATAAATATATAATCTTTAAGCAATTTGATATTTGGAACAAACCATACAGTTTTTTTTAATATTATTATTTGTTAAAGTGAACATTAAAAAAACAACAATTTAATTTTTATAAACATTATATTGGTCAATAATTAGTAATTAGTAATAACCTATTAATATTTATTATAAATGTAATAAGAACTTACAAAGTTAATTATACTGGTTAATTGATTCGTCAAATACAAATACGAGTAAAATAATATACCTAAGCATTATTTAAAATGCAAAGTTTTAAACGAGTATAATAAAAATTAAATTGTTATTGTTAAATTTTTTTATGTAATGTTTGATTTATGAATAAACCATATAATATATTGGACTTAAGTTTCACCTTCATAGCAAAAAACCTACACACGGCTATAACAGGTGTTTTTTTTTCTTATATATTTTGTGAAAATACCTAGTAAGAGTCTTGAGCAAGACCAAGACTGAGTCTGCAAGACTAAGACCAAGACCAATATTAAGTTGTATACCCAAGACCAAGACCAAGATTTTGAAAGTCTTGTTCTTGGTCTTGTTTTGATCATCACTACTTTTTTACTGTAAACTTTTTAATGAATTGTGGATAGTTTGCTTGAAAATATTTATGTACGTATACTTAATTTAAAATTTGAATGATTTTTCATAAGTATAAATAATATTAAAATAAATATTTTAACAATAGCTTTAATGTCATTAAACTTGGACTATTTTTACTATTAATAAATAATAAAATTTATTAACATTTTTGATTCATAATTATAATTTATAACTTATAGTACAAAAAGTTAAATAAATCGAAAATCGAAATATGATTTAGAGAATTCAAAATATTCAAAAAAATGTCTGCCGCCAAATAATATTTAATAGGAAAGTGAGGCTCCCAATTTAAAGATTAAGGTTTTTATTTCGGCAATGATATTTCTTAAATAAAAGAAAAAAAAATAATTTTAAAGTTTAATGTATTAATCGTGTAATTTTAAAAAACGATACAGTTTTGTAATTAATTAAATATCATCTTAGTATCTATAGGGAGTATAAAAAAAAACTCTAAAAATCAGATTTAACAAAAACAATTATTTGAAATATATATATGTTGAGCATACATAGCGATATAGTCAGTTTTTGAATATTGTACTATTGATTTATTTAAACGTAATGACATGAATTTGAAAATATTAATTTTGAATAAAATTTGTTGATAGCGTATTACTATTTACTAATATAAAAATTATTATTTTTAATTAATATCTGTATGTATTCAAGTTAATTCAATTTTAACATAAAAATACATATTTTTTTCAGCTTACGCGTTTATAAAAAATGTAGGTTTTAATAAATATTGTACAAATCGTGACAATAAAATGGATCAATATAAAAGACGTAATATATTTAAAGAAAATATCGATGTGTGTTTTCGTTGATATTATCATAAATAGGTACATTGGGAAAATTAGTCTTAAGTATAACAACTTAAATTATGTTGGTCTCACCAATGTAATGATGATGCATTCTACATTATTAAAGAACTAATAACGACAAAGGCATATAAATAATGTTTCCGATAAAGGTTTTATCTAATTTTATGTTATGTGTGGTAATATTTTTCACTCCATAATTTATATTTGATGGCTATTAAGAGATAAGTATGGGATAAAACAAAACAAAATAAAACCTACATAATGCATAAATCAAAAAAAGAAACGTCGATAAACAAGTCACATTGAGCCCTCGGCTTTAAATCTTACAGTTATTGTTTTAGTCTAACCTGTATAAATATAATAAATGTATGCATAAAATTTCATAAAATGGGATTATTGTTTAATTTTTTTAACAAAATGATTAACCGACTTAAGTTATACATCTACACTTTTTATATTTTTGCTTTTAATACGGACTTTTTGTTTTTTACACCAGTTTTATTTTAAATAATAAGACGATGTTTCAATAATAGTTTAAAAATATAAATATCTTCATAGTGATAATTATACAGTTAATATAAATAACTAACCTCTTTTACGTGTAAGATATTATATACTATAAATTGTATCTTTCATCCATGTTTTACTGATTGTTAAAAAAAAAAAAAAACATGAAGTTAAATTACTTAAACTATAGCACACGCAAAATTAAATTATAACCATTTATTTGAATAAAAAAATTAAAAACATTTATGGTTCATTATAATAATTATTATAATTAGCAAATACAAAATGTATATTAAAAATTTTTGAAAACTATTAGAGTTAGTATAAACATTATTTAAACTGAGAAAATGAGAAGTTTTGAATTATGAAACATGAAATGTTTAATACAATTATTTATTAAATAATATACGCCATAATTATGTGGATTCTAATTTAAAAAAAAGAAGTTTATATCGCCATAGGATATTTCTAGAGTATTAAAAAATTTCAAGGAATTGAAGAAAAAGTAATAATAATTTCAAAAATCGAATGCATCCGAATTGTATGCAAAAAAAAAAGTTCGAATTGCATGCCGCTTTTTAGATGAGACTCATGATGTAAATGATTTATAAACTACATACATTTATTATTTTTACATTTAAAAGTTAACTTGAAGACTCATTTTTATTTAAATTTTAACGTAGAAAAAATGTACAATATACATAACTGAATTACTACTTTTTATGTAAAAAATTTAAATTATATCACACTATATATTTTAATTAGCTAATATATGCGTAGAACTATGTCTTATGGTCTATTTGTATAATACATATATTAAATGCGAGTGTTAATTTAAATGCATTTGGATGTATTTAGAAAGGACTAACTGCGTTGCACATAGCCAGTAGCCATGGATGTCGAGGAATAGTGGAAATGCTATTATCAGCCGATTGTGACATCGACAGACAGAGCAAAGTAAATAAAATCTGCACGGGAAAACGAAATATAAAATCGTCGTGTTTTCGTGTTTTATGATAACTATCAAACAAATGTGTTAAAAATGTTAACAGAATGGAAACACTTCTCTGCACATGGCATGTTTGTCTAACAACGTAGTGATTGCAGAAATATTGATTTCTAAAGGTGCAGATCTCAATGCCTTGAACATGGTAAGTAAACGAGCTATCGAGCATGTAGCATGCATGCACAATGCACATTATCGTCGATAAAATATTATTGTTTGACTATACGAAAATATGAATATAAAATGTGATTCTTTTGGCGTGTTTTAGAGGTTACAGTCTCCGATTCATATAGCCGCCGAACAGGGATATTCAGAAATCTGTAAGCTCCTATTGAGTGCCGGTGCCAACATCGAACAACGTGAACAGGTCAATATTTATATTTTGGTTCATTAATCACCTAACCCAAACAGTTCACCTAAAAATTGATCTGATCTATTATTAATATATCGCTATGTCATATTATTAATAGTGATTTATAAATGCAATTGAGAGTACTAAAATATTATTAAGAATTGGTTTTATTTTAAACCAACTCCGAAAATTTACCTTAACGAGCTTAATAAAAATACATAGCAGTAACATTAAACATTATTAATGAATATGTTCATAACTAGCTACTGCCTAGCTAGTATTTTGTAATTTATGTTTCATTATATTTTCAATTTGACTCAGGGAGGCAAAACACCATTATACATAGCAGCTAGAGGAAGTTTCACAGCTATCGTGGATATGATTATAAAAACCGCTCGTTTAGAGTACACACCCAAGGTGCGTAATTTTTATAAAGGTATAAATTCAAACATTCAAATCCATTCAATTTATTTATATAACACAGTGAAGAATACATTAATCGTCGTGATTAACTGTATATTTCATTTTTATCAATAATAAATCTAACTGTTAAACTCGTGTTTGTATGCGCATAGAAACGAACTAGACCGAAAACGCCAGAAGAACGGAGAAAATGGAAGTGCAATCCGGACTTAGACGTTTCGATAGCACTACAAGAAACTGACGCAAATCTAGAAGCTATATTACGAAAATTATCCCATAAACAACTGAGTCCCGGCGAATGGAAAAAACTGGCTCATTTGTGGGCATTTACAGACGAACAGATCAAAGCGATCGAACACCAATATATAGGTAATATTCACTAGGTTTAGTTAATTTTAATTTTTTTTCATGGAATTTAAATTTTTTTATGTAAGTACTACATTATAAAAGAAAAATAATAAATACTAGAATTTTTTACTGAATGAAATTAGACTTATTGATTGTAAAATCAACAGGCTTTAAAATATTATTTTTCTTATCACATACACACGCACACACACACAGTTCGATATCGGAATTTGTGTTTCTTTTCCCTTTGTTGATACGAGTGTTCCCGCGATGTCTCTATTTATCTTTCACTGTGTAAATAGCTGGAGTAATTGGTCCGGAAAATAAAGTAATTGAGTACTTAAATATATTATGTAGATGTATACTACGAGTTGTATGACTGAATACCGATTTGTGTTATCTCAAAAATTTCGAATGCAGTATTTTAAGAAGCGTTTTAACTTATGGAAACAAATTAATGATTTCGATATAATAGTAATATAAATATATTTCATCTTATAATCGAGTTTTTGGAAACTCCGATAAGACACCCCAGGTATCGTTAAAATATAAAATAGATCTATACAAGAACTTACTTATTATTACCTTTTTCGTGAAGTTATTACAGATAACGTCACAAGACTTGAAGGTTTATTTTAGAAATAAATGCTTATCCAGCATGTTATTTATATGGGGATATGTACTGATTCAAAATGAATTAATATTCGCGTACGTCGAATCTCATTTTGCAGCAATTTTTTTCCCGAAAACCCAAACCATATAACAAAATATTTATGCTTATTTAATTCACTGTTAACGTGTATCATTTCGTGATATACTATATTGCTTATAAGCTAGCACAAATCCTCAATGACGTAAATATTTTGCTTACAGGTCCGTCCAGTTACAAACAACACGGTTATAGAGTGTTGAGAATTTGGGTCGATAGTTTAGGCCCCGATCTTGACCCCATAGAAGAACTCATCGATAGTCTAAATACCATCGAAAAGAATACGCTAGCAGGTAACATTATTTGTTGAAAAAAAATTAACATCAATTTTAATACGGAAACACGGTTGTGGTTATGGTGAGGGCGTTTGTTTTTCTAAAAATGACAATAATTTGAGTTACTTATTATAATGTACAAATATTTTTTGTTCGACTTCGGAGTTTTAATATGTTTTTCACGTAACACATTTTAAATTATTCAATTTTATTTTTCAAAAACTATTTTGCTTATATTTTTATTTTTAGACCATAACATCTAAATTTAAAATAGTCTATCCATACACTCGTATAATATACGAAATAATACGATGTCGATGTTATGATTTATGGCATTGTTTATGAATACATATTGATATTGGGAATAGGAATCCCTTATAAATACAACAAATTTAATTAATTTATACTAATCTATAAAACACATACATACATTCTAAATCCATACACATTAGGTATTCACCCATCCTTACTGCATATTGTATGCAGTAAACCATGTATTATGAACTTTGATACCCTAGTCAGTTATATTCTTCTCGTTGAAATATTGTATTTGATCGGTTATTACAGCGCCTTATACGCCGTATACTCGTATTTGATACATTTTAGTATTTTATTCATAAAGACTATTTCCCCTGAGTATTTACTAATTTAAAGCTCTTGGATAAACGAGTATCCGTCGGTTAGTACATTGCTTAAAGTTACTATCACTACTTAGCAATTTTCGAAAAGCACTGAAGTAAAAAATAATTAAATAAATAAGTTTAGGTATAAAAATAAATAATATATTAGGTATAGCACACCTAATATTTGTATGGTTCTAAAATTTAATAGTCAAGCAATAAACTACAACTTAAAAGTTATTTTCATTAAATATAAATACCTATATTAAAATATTATATGTAATATACATATTATTATTGAGTGCATTCAGGTATTATACAAATATTAAAAATAAATTTACAAAAAATCCTGTTTTTCTATGATACAAATTATTTCATATATAAATGTCAATAATTATTATTATAAATAACCCAAGTACAAGTATGAAAAAAAAATAATAATAATATTAACTAGATTTAATTAAAGTACAAACTACATTATACAATATACCTAAATTCCTCTTCAGTGTTCTCCATAAATAATAATTTTTTTCTTTTTTTCGAAAAAACGTAGGAATTCCAATTGGATGATTCGTTTAACCTCTGCATGCGTGATGGTCAGATTATATAGAATGGTTACACAAAATGCGCTACTAAATGATAAAATACAATGTAAGATAACATCATGTTAACTAATAGCATTTGCTGCAGAATTAGTATTGCGATTAATAAAAAAAAAAAAAAAATGAAAAAAATACTGTGATATTATACTGGGATCACATTTTTGTACCATTTAATGAAATATTGAAATGTGTAATCGTGACAAAATATAAATTAACACGTACAAATAACACCGCTTTGACACTTAACATAATTGTTTGAATTATAATTCCGCGTGATCTTCTTATAAATAATGATAAAAATCACGTCATATTAAAAAGTGATTAGATGTGTATATTATAATATCAATTAGCCAAATGCTTTTAAATGGTAAACCAAAAGGGAGAAGGGAAATTTAAAAAATCATGATTACGTATGGTATTGATAATCATGATATAGCAAAGTTTTATACAAAGGTTCAATTAAACATAATATTACCTAATATAATCGATTAATATAAATCAGTTATTATTTCTAAATCAATAAAAACTCTAATGCAACTAATATCATTTCTTTTAAAAATCTTGTCGCGAAAATTCAGCATCAAGCTATCAAAAGTAATTGAATGTTTTAAATTCAAAAGTATCTGTTACATTTAAGAGGTATTATATAGTGATTTTAAAATATTAGTTGTTGATGTTCATTTATTATTATTTGTAATTCTAATAATAGTTAATAATTATAGTAAACATTTGATCTAATATTATAAATAATGTTTATTTTTATATTTCTAAGTCATACTTAAGAACTATTACTTATTTAATATAAACATTTAAGAAAATAAGAAAATAGAAACTATTCGTATGAATTTTGAATTATGAACATTAAAATTTTCTATAAAATCATTCATTAATTAATTTACGTCATAATTTGGTAGGTTTTAATTTGAAAAAACGAAGCTTGTATCGCCATAGGATATTGCAGCTAAGTGTTTTAAACACTTTCTAGAAATTTAAGACAAGATAATACATTTAAAAAAATGGCTGCGTCTGTATTACATGCTATGTACCTAAAAGTTTATTTGTCACGTGGACATGTGGTTATTAGAGCAATTTAATAATATAATTAGGAAAATTAAAAATGCAGAAAAATTTACATATATGACGTTGCTAATAATAAAAAAAATATTATTTTAAATTTCTAATTTATAACGTTGAACATGATATTATAGGTATTTTTATTATTATTATATAAATATATAACTATAATTTTTTGTTTTTTTTTTTGTTGAACTTAAGCCGGTCGATTAGGGCCATTAGCTGTTGTAGGGGTAAGGTTGGTACGGTAGGTTGTTTTTTATGATTGTTGTTACGGTTGATAGTAAACACGTGAATGTGTGGCAAGGTTTTTAACCACTATGATCCCGAGTGGTCACCCATCCGGGAGCTAGTAGCTGTGACCGTTACTTACTCTCAGTTACATTCCGCGACTGATAGCAGCCAACGCGCCACGCCAAGCCAAATAATTATAATTTATTGTATAATGAAATTGTGATAAATTCTATGTCTGGAATGTTAAATAAATTCCATCAAATTTTAATTAATTAACCTAAACTATCTAAACTACAATCGTTTTACTAAATGTCTAATATTCATAGGGTCACCTTTCCAAATATTTATATATTTTATTGTAATGTAATGTAACAATAGCCGTTCCTCTAATGAAAAAGTAAGTTAAATTAATTTGTTTCGTAAAATTTTAAATTAATTAAAATTAAATTAATTTTTGTGGTTGGCATCATTATTGTTTTGATTTTTTTTTCTTTTAATATATTACTTTTTTTTTTCCATTGTTTTTGTATAAATATGATTGTTGTGTTTAGATGCAATTTGCAAGAAGTTAATGCGGCAGAAGGAAAAAAATGTGAAAAAACCTGAAGAAAAAACCTGTGTTATTTCTTGAAGTCATGTCACGCACATTTTTGTGTTTGATTTTCAGTTTTTATTTGTTTATTTTTCTTCGGACGTCTTTATAAACAGTGTATTCACAGTTTTTGAATAATTGTTCAACGTTTATAATATTTTGGCATTAATATTAAATTATATATATTTATATTTAATATGTAAGGTATTATATATCATTGTTCTCTTAATTGTATAGTGTTATAATATAATAACATGATTTTTGATATAACTGATAACTAATATTAAATAAGCTTTATATAATGTAATACAAGTATAACAAGTGTTTCACGATCTTAAACATACTAATTATGTCATTAACCTGTCCTTGAATAACAACCATATCGTTGTTAGAATATTCCTTATACATTTATAAATGCATTTTACGTTTGAAATGTGTATTTTGAACCAACCAATGTTGCTCAATAATTACGTGCGATAAATATTCATAGTTTTCCTCCCAAAATACATTATTACTTAGAATTTGTATCTTCAAAAAAGAGTTCCAAATTTATTTTGCTCCAATTCAAGTATCCCTCAGAAGTTGATTTCTAAGGGGAGGATAATTTATTATTTTAAAATAATTATAAAGAATACGTAAATAACGCCAATTTTTCACACTAAAATTGAAAAATTCTATAAATTATTTTTCCTATTTTACTATTATATTTTTTAAAATACAATTAAACAGATTTTTAATTTTTCTTTTTATTCAGTACGTCAACAAAAACAACTAATATTTTATTATATTAAAGATTTTTAAAACTGGTAATTTATGTCACGTTAACCACATTTTGTGTCGATAAAATAATTTACCATTTATTATTTACACATAATTTATTTTATTTGATATGTTTATACAATGCATATTAGTAAAGCCACCTTATGTTTAATATTTTGCAACCGATTTCTTTAAACATTACGTTTTAGTACATTTTAATGTAAATACTCTTGAATTGTTGCTTTAATTTTCATGAAACATTTTTCGCAATATAAAGTGATTTGTTACTTAATTTTAATTAAGTAACTAACAATTGTAGACTATAACTGTCACTTACTATTACAACCAGTTAAAAATTGCCAAGTTACAGTATCTATAAACTTGTTACTTGCACCTAGTTCCAACATAATTGAATAACTTTCCTGTCTCTGAATGCATATTAGAAATTAAAATAAAGAGATGTTTCATACATAAAGTATGACTTTTGACATTACTATGTTAAGTAAAATATATATTTTACTTATAATATCATACTCAATATCATTAGTTTCTCTAATCAGCAATGACTTTTTAACATTACAAGTTTACTCCTCAACCGTCTGGAACAAAAAGGTAAAACGCGCTCAATCGATGGGATAGCCATGTCATACCAAGAGGTATTTTGTTATCGCATACTATTAGAACGTACATTTTATATTATAAATTATTATGCACTAGCTGTTCAAATACCTATACAGAGTAGGTAGTACTCGTACCTTTAAATATTAATGTTCAAAACAAAACAAAATATTAAATATTAAATGAAAAACATTTTTTTTATTAAATCCATCAATTAGATACAAGAAAATCGTATGAATTCCTCACATTGTGGGTAAAAGCAAAATGAGACACGCGAAAATTTCAGTGTTCTGCGCATAAGCTAATGTAATTAAATGAAATTGATATTAAATTATAACTTTGAAATTAATTTGTAAATTTTTTTTTATTTATTTAAAATATATATGTATTAATTTTATATTTTATTATTGTAAATTAACTTTGATCATTAGTACCATCAGCGCTTAGTTTACTTATTTATAAGCGGGTACGTTATACAATTTATAGATTATTATGTTATTATAATGTATTTCCATTTTTAAATAAATAACTATTTTAGAAACTTTAATATTAAATAATAGATGTAGTACTTTAATTTTTTTTTTTTTATTATATTTTGTTATTTTTATTTTATATTTTTTATAGAAACCAAAAAAAAAAAAAAAATTAATAGCTTAAATAATTATGTTTATTAGATTGTATATACCTAACCAGAATAATTAGATATCGCACGTAAATAAACATATAGTTTGAACTCTTATTTTCATATGATAAAAACTAAAAATCATTTATTTAGTTTTGAGAAATATTGAATTAATCCCATTGGCAATACTTAGCACAAATATTAAATATTAATCATTAAATGGACCTAACAGTTTTTACTAAAATAACTTAATACTTTATTCGTTTAAGCGTCTTCGCTATTCTATTGAAAAATATATTATAATATATACCTTCATCGTTATTATTGTAAAATTCCAATTTTATATTTGTCTAATATTAAACCGTGTGTACACTAATTTAGGAAATACTGAATTTCTCGGCCGGATCATATTGGAATAAATTGATTTTTTTTTTTAAAGCTAATGATATTTCAAAACACATTTATAGATACATTTCAAAATTTTTATCATTCCAGTATGTGCATGCGTATAAATGATTTTTTTTTTTTAATATCAATTCCTATTTTGAACACCATATTCGGATATGCATAATTTTGAAAGATAACTTTAATATATCAACTATGGTTCTAAATAAAAATTTTATTTAATAAAAGGCATTTCAATTTTAATATTTATTACATCTTTACGATTCATTTAAGTATTCGAAAAGTAGTAATAAAAAATTATAAATTGTTTAATCACTTTAATGCATTTTAGAAATATAATATTTATTAAAATTGAAATGCTTTTATTCAGTAATTTTTTTATTTAGAACCATAGTTGAAACATCAATTACATAATAAAATTAGGTCTAAATCCGAATACTATTTTAAAAATAAGTGTTGCTATTTAAAAATCCATGTTATATTATGCATACCTATATCGAAATGATAGGTAAATGTTTTAAAATGTATCTATAAATGTGTATTTATATATCACTAGATTGTAATAAAAAAAAAATTCGATTTATTCCGATATAATTCGGGAGATAAATTCAGTGTTTCATAATCTTGCTAACACACTATATATATTTAATTTTTAATGTTTAATTATTTTATACATTAAATTATTTTTTTTATGTCCATTGTCTATTATTTATAATAAGTCTACCCTTCTTAACTTGAACGATTTATGGATTGTATATTATCTTTTGATAAATAGATTTGAAATTTATATTCCAGGGTTTTTAATCGTTCTTACGTAGGTATATAATTAATATTATAATATTATTTAGCCTCATCTACCATTTATAAATGAGTAATTTGTAAATATTATTTATTATTAATTATTATTAATAATTGTCAATCTTTATAGAAATGTTAATATCTGTGTGTAGAAATTAATTACTTTTATATATTATATATTTATAAAAAATATTCTTATAAGTTTGCAACATTGTTTTATTAGATTTATTTTTATCGTTTTAAGATTAAGAATAATTTAATGTAAAATACAATTTTTCTGTTATCTGTCTTTTATATAATATTTTGTTTTCTATGAAAATTGTAGGACTCGACTGGCAATTCTTGTTATATTTTGTATGTCGTTACTATTGTATTATTTCTTATAATCAAAGAAAAATAAAATAATTTAATTATATTCATGAATTGACATAAATAATGGTTATCAGCAATGACAAAACAAGTAAAGTGCTTGTTTATATTATCTAGGGTTGAAAAAAAAAGTTTTATCGTTATTCGTATTAACTTTAAGCTGTGTCACTTCAAAACACAACAAATAGAAACGAATTTAAATTCATATTTATTACGTTTAATAGTGTGCGTGTAGACACTATCAATGTTATTTTTGATATTATTATTTTATCCATGATTTGAGGTAAATGGTTTTCAGTTACGGTCATTGATTTTCAATAACAATATAATATTTTATGTACCTAGTACATTCCTATACTACTATACACATCTTATATTATGATTTATTATATTAATATTATGATATGAGTACCAAATATCGGTCGCTTTAAAATAATTAAGAACTTAATTTTTAAAATCAAAATACATAACGATAAAGAAGTGCAATTCGGTTAAAATAACATTGTGTTATTGTGTATTTACATGTGCTTTGTATACAAATATTGGCCCGCTGCAGCCAGCTATACTTGTTGTAAACTTCAACTGATAAATGAGTGAATAAATGATGTATACACGTGTATGAACATATGAACCGGTTGTAGGATTGCTATATAAGCAATATTTAATATTATTTATTGTTTTATGTGTTATACATATGTATTGTATTGAATCATTTTAAATATTCCTGTGCATTAAATATACGCTATGTATAATGGAACATTATAACATAAACCAAAAAAAAAAAAAAAAAAAAAAAAATATATCACAGATTTTTATTTTTAACCATATTATTAGTCAAAAAAATACTTTTAAATTTACTAATTGTTTTAATATGTAAAAAATATAACTTAGTTATTTTAAATTATGTTATAATCAGTGCGGAGTTATTTAGTACAACAAAAATAAAATAAATATAATATTATTATATTAACATCATAATTAAATGTTGTTAATTTTTTGTGAAATTCTGGGCATATTAATATAAAATTACGCTTAAAAAAGAAAAATAAACTTTTAATTTGCAAGAAATTGTACGGCAAAGGAATATTTCTACAACCAGCTCATTAAAAAGTAAAAACCAATCATATACCACTGGTATTAATCTACTCCATACTACTGATAAACATAATTATTTTTGTTGTTATAAATATGTCAGAATACTTTATAAAAAGGTGATCAATGTCTATGAAATCAATAAACCACATGTTAAAATAAAAAACTGATTTTTAATATGAGAAAATGTAATACATACTATTGTAAATTCATTGCATACATTATGTATCATTTACATTTTATTGGAGTTAATGAGTTCTCAAATACAGATTAATTATATTTATGTGTTTAAATACTATGGTACCACTCATTTTTAAAAATCAATCTGTATAATTACTGTACCTTAATACTGTCGTTGTTTTGTAAACCTCCATGATCTAACATTAAACCAAACCACCTTTTAGACCGTATTGGAGAAAGAATTTTACCCCATAAAATGGGGTGTTTCCCAAAGGATGTGCCGCGTCACACTGGTATGCCATGAAATTTGAATTTATCCAAAGTGTGCCGTGACTTATAATAACTATAATAATGTGCCGCGATAAAAAAAAGCTTGGGAATCACTGCCATATACTCATATGGGTGATTCGCTATTCCGACGAAATGTGGAAAGTGAAAACCACACGTAAGATCAAATATGAGACATAATACAGACGACTCTACACTAACTGTAACTGCACATTGTGTTTATGAAATGACTCAAAGCTTTGGCATACAGTGATTGTAGATTTAATACAAAATGTTGTAATTGCCGATACACGAGAAAAACAATCACTTTGGCTTAGGATCAGCTGTTATAATTATGTGACTTGGTATTGAAAAAATATTTCTGTACCTCATAGATTGTGTGTTAGATTTGAATTCAATAATAAACCTTAACAAATGATCAGTAATTAATATTATTGTACAACATTCAGACCATATACTTGGTGCAAGAATTATATTCTGAATTAATTAAAAGAAAAAACGGAGATGAATAAAAAATCAACACTATTTTTTAGACAACTGAATAGATCAAGCCCACTAATAAAGATATCAAAACCATTGAGTAAACCAAATAAATATATTATGTTAAAATTATATAACGAAAATAATAAAGTCATTTAATTAATTATCTTGTATGCTGAAGCTTAAAATAAATATGTTTAACACCAGTGGAACCCATTTTTTTTTTTTTTTTTTTTTGTATTGATAATATTCACTCTCAGGTTCAAAGACGTGCTTGTCAGTTATAAATTATTTATCTATTTTTTTTTTCCTTTGTGGAAGGAGTGGGCTTATAAAAAATATGGTTGTTATAATTTGACATAAAAAATTAACCGTATAATTTTAAATTCATTTAAAATTAGACATCAATCGAAATAAAATACTGATTATACTGCTAAGTAAGTTTAAGTGTAAATTTAAGCGTCATTAATCAAATTTTGAATAAATACATTTTAATTCATCAAAAATATTAAGTTTTAATGAAACCCGTAAAAATTGTGACGAAAAAATAGATCAATATAAAAGACATCATCTATTGAAAGAATACGTTGATGTGTGTTCTTGTCTATAGAGCATAATAATATCATAAATAAGTTAAAAAAATATGTATCCTTAAGTATAAGTAAAGTCATTTGATGTGTAATACTTTGTTACCTATTTCTTTAAAAATTACGTTTTAGTAAATTTCAATGTTAATACTTTTAAATTTTAGGTTTAATTTGTATGAAACATTTTTTTACATTATCTATGCATATACAAACAAATATCTAGTAGTATTTTTAGTAAATACATTGAATCTTATTTTGAAACAATCTACTTTGCTAGATGTTTTAAAAATATATTTTTAAATTGTATTATTAGGTTTAAAGTTGTTTATTAACTTTTAATTTGTTTGTTAATATTATGAACTTTTTAACTTGCTTTGAAGAATATTTACTGACGCAATATAGTAGTAATTATATATAATTTCCTGTTATTGATACTTGAAATAAAGGTCAAAATCTAAAAAAATATATCTTACCTTGGATGTAAGAAAAATAAAATATTTCGAGAGTTCTTGTGAAATACGTAGTAAAATTATATTTAATGCTTGATATAAAAAAAATAAGCTTTTAATTTTTAAAAACTTATGAGACTAAGCAATATTATTACATCTGGCTCATTAAAGAAAAATAATATACTACTGATATTAATTTTACAGAGTAAGTACACAATACGAGTACATTTAACAATGTTTGTGATCAAAATCTCGAAATTTTTAGTGCATATTTTTGCGTATTTTGTCATTTTTGGGTTTAAAGGACATATTATTAGATTATGAGAGCATATTTTTAGCCTGTAGTGCATATTTTGAAGGTTTTTCAAAATGCATGTACTTAAGTGAATACTTTTCATGATCAATGACACAAATTATTATATTTAATTGTTTATATATAATTTCTCATAAAAAAAAGAGACTCATTTTAATATAATTGCGAATCTGTAGATAAGATTACAACAATAAAATTATATCAAATTCAGGTAAATTCTTAAACAGCTCAGGTTTTTTACAACACAAATTTCTTTCCCCTTTATACAGGCTTAGGACTGTCTCAAAAAAGGTGTAGTTAAAAATGTTTTGGTGTATACTAAGTAAATTGTTAAAATTATATAAAAAAAAGCTTATAGTATAATATGAAATTTTAAATTTTTAACATTAAAAAATATTAATAATGAAAAAAATATGTTTTTATAAATAAAAATACTAAAAAGAAACATATATCGGGTAAATTTGTTAGGCACATTTTATTTTTTTTAGTCTATGCGTGCTATATTATTTGATTAAAACTCGTAAATGATTTTTTCGACGAGTTTTTTTTTTTTTTTTTCATCAGACAGCCGTGCATAATATGTCTAATAACTATTGTATAGTTTGCAATTATACAATATTTGAACATTTTTTTTTCGATGGGAGCTGTTTGGGAATTTACCTGTTCGTATAACCTTTTTTGGCGGGAGCCGTTTGGGATTCGACGGCTCAATCTGGTATCACCGACTCAAACGTGCTGTGCACTAAAAAACAGCTTATTCATTAAGAAACAAACACCAATAATGAGCTGAAGGTAGATCTCCGGTTATAATAAAATAAAAAGAAAAGGTATGTGTGATTTTATTTCTTATTATTTGTGTAATTGTGTCAAAAAAAAAAAAAATATAAATATATAGTCATTTTAATTATTAATACTCTACGTAAGTCAAACGCAATGCAATATAATATACAATATCTTTTTAATTTTTTTTCTTAGTTCGTTTATTCGAGGCAAAAAATATATTATTATTAATGTATACAAAACCAAAATTAATGAATTACTCAATGTTTCATAAAAGAACATGCACTTATTATTTCTCTCTTGTGTCTTGGCGTGGCGCGTTTTCTGCTACCAGTTGCGGAATGCAACTAAGAGTAAGTAACGGCCACAGCTACTAGCTCTCGGATGGGTGACCATTCGGGATCATAGTGGTTAAAAACCTTGCCACACATACACGTGTTTGCTATCAACCGTAAAATACAAATTACCGTACCAACCTTACCTCCTACAGCAGTTCATAACCCCTACAAACAGCTAATGGCCCTATAGTTGCCGGGCTTAAATTCAATAAAAAAATAATTATTTCTCAAGCAACTGGAGTTGGCCATAATATAATATGTTCATCAATTTCTGAATACAAGCAAACAAGACAAATTAAATCAACAAATAAAAATAAAAATAAAAAAGAAGTTAGAGGATTTTCAAAAAAATTCTATTCGAAAGCTGTACATTATTTTTGATAGAAGAAGAAAATGCTGGCTTACAAATAGTTCTTGCCGAAATTCATCAGAAAAAGGATATACCGAATTTACTCCGAATATATTTATATCGCGTTGAAAAGAGATTTAAATATTGAATACACGAAAAGAGCTCGTAAGAATAGAGACAGATGATAAACAGACAAAAAAAATGTGGACGCTATTAGAAAATATTGATAACAAGATTGTCCAATACATTATTTAGACTAAACGTGAGTGAATTTGTTGCTTATGATGTCATGCAAAATATGGGGTCAACTATTACAACCATTACAGGTGAAATTGATTCTGGCACTGATCTTACGGAATAAATTGTTATTGTTTCTTGACTAATTAATGTTAATCATAATTATTTTTATTTATTATGAAATGAAAAACAGGAAAAAAAAATTATTTCTTTTTATTATTAACAACATTAACTAATGCGACGCTAAACAAAAATATGTAAAAATTAAAATTATTTATTATTAATATTACTGTTTATTAGGTTTCAAGAGGCTTTGAATAGGCTTTGAAGAGGTAGCCACAATTAATTATTATAATTTTCGTAAAAAATAATAAAAGTACATAATATTTATTGTGATGGGCCGTGGAGTAGGGGACTGTCCCACCCAAGCCCCAACGTACGCTTGTACTATATCGTTTCAATAAATGATGACGACTCACCACCCGAAGCATTGCTTAACGGTGTTTCCGGGTGGTGAGGGTTTCGCCGATTTAAACGAAAAAACAGGTTTGTATAAATAATATTATGTAAAAAAGTTGTTTTATTCGTTATAACTTATAATTCAAAACTGTTAATTATTATTATTTTTTTTTATTGGATTATGATATTATGTGTATTATATTATTATTATTTTTTTTAATTGTATATTAAAAAAATAAAATAAAATTTGTAATTATTATAACTAAAGGCCATTACTATCAATGTCAATTATGATTAATTAAAAAAAAAAAGAAATTATATACATAATACTGGTAGCATCAAAAAAGATGTACGAATTAATTGTTGTCCGATAAAAATATACTAAAGAAGTTAATAGTAAATTTTCATCGTAAGGGTAATATATTATTTTAAAACAATTAAAATATACGAAAAGAATTCCAATTTTTCATATTACAAATTATACAATTCTATGAAATTTGACAAATGTTAAATTATTGTCGTACACAATTTTTACTGTATTATTGACTATTGTATAAGTACCTCTATAAATTTATATAAAAAGCACCATTAACACAGTACATTATTGAAAAGGCTTCCTTATTAATGTCTACGACCGATTATATATTTTAAACTTTACTCTTACATATGTGTATCATTTAACCATTTGTGCCGCCTCACATTATATTTTTTCATTTTGATTATTAAAACAGATGTCTTTGAAATAAATACATAAAACATTTATTTATTTGTTTTAATGTATATAATCCAAAATAAATAGGCACTCTTTTACTGTATACAGTATCATAGTACCTAAGTTGAATGCGCTCATTTTAAATTTGTTCTTTGCAAAAAAAAGTTGTAATTATCTAAGTTGTTACTCGTATATCTTTGTAATTATCAAAACAAAAAAAACAAAAAACTATGATTTCATATAAAGTTTTAATAATATTAACTTTTACAATTAATATAAGCCACAGTAGTTATTCTGAAGAGCAAATTCGAAAAGGTAACGAACAACAATTATTTTATAAATATTGTACTTCTAAATAATTAAAAATTGGTGATTAAAAATTTTAAGAAAAAATTAGATTATAGATTCATTATTTTCAAATGAAACATAAGCCAGTAAACCCCAGCCTCGCGCGCCTTCAAAAATTGTGACTGACAGCTTTACTCTGTAACGTATTAACGTGAATACCCAAATATCTCATAACATGACTATGTCTCTCAGAATCAAAAATCTAGTAATCGTTTTTACAATTGACAAAAAGAACGAGGAAACGAATTATTGACGAACGAATTGAAAGTTTTAATATAATAATTATATTGCTAAATGAAGATCCCTTGTTTTTTGTCAAAATATAATTTCTGTTGTTTTAATTATTAAATTAGTTTTTTACTGTCATTATGAATGTTATTATTGTATTATTATTATAACTATTGTTATTCACACAATAATTACTATTTTATTCTAATATTTGTATTTATTTACCTATTTGTATTCAAAGAGCATATTCCGATAATTTTTTAATAAATAAATAAATAAATTATAGTTACTATGTATTATATAGTTATACATATTATATTCTCTAGTTTATTAATTTAGGAATATAAATTATATTGATTGATTTTAATATTGAATAATAGGACAGTATTAAAATACTTGAACATTTTAAATATGTATTTAAAAATCAATTAATTACAATATAATTCGGATGATACATCATTTATACAATAAGTCTACAATAGTTTTTTTTTTGTTTTTAATGGTTTAAGAACATTAAAACTCTGTGTACCTAAGTGTCTCTGCATAACCAAAGACGACTGTATGTGCACTACATAACCACATTCAAATATTTTTTTGTTTACATACAAAGATACTGTAAAATTACACAGTACAATCCATGTTTACACATAATATAGTGTTCACACTCATATACATATCACCATACTTACATATGAGTAAATAAAATAAAACACAGAATATTAAGTCATATGAAATTTAAACAAAAAATATAACTACGTGAATTGTAAAAAGTTCATAGACTTTAACATAACTTTAACCTAACAAACAACTTTAACTCGTATACATTTCACCACATTTTCATGTGAGTAAATAAAATAAAACACAGAATATTAAGTTGTATGTAATTTAAAAAAAAATATATTAATAGGTAAAAAGTACATTTACTTTAACAATTAATTAATTTTAAAGTATTCAAAATATGTAATTGATAAGTCCCACAATCAACCATAGTATTTTATATTATAACGCATAATATATGTAATACTAAACAAATTTTAAATATCAAATAATAAACTTAATGCAGATTTAATATTTGTTTTCAGAATGCGATAGTAATAGATTTTAAATCAGTAAATTATAGTTAATACATTTTACAAATTATTAATAGATATGACATAACTATGATAAAATAGGTTTATTGTATATGTACCTACATAACATACTTTATAATATTTAAATCTTTATCTTATATTAAAATTTAAGTATTCATATTTATTAAGTTAAACTTATTTTATTTTACTTTTTAGGATGCGTTGGTAAGATAATTTTTTATGGCAATATATTTTTGTTTATACATTTTGCAGTCTATTTGTATATCATAGCCAAGAAAAAATTACCTAATCTTGTGTGCTAGTCATGCTTTATGATATTTAAACTATAATTTTTAACTTTTAAAATGTACCTACATTTAAATCTTAATTACACATTATTTTCCTATTGGTGATTTCTTTTCCAAATAAAATTTTCGATTTTATATAAAGCGATGAACTAATTGTTTTTTCAATGGTGTGTTTTTTAAGATTCCAAGGGGAGCAATACGTTGTTAATTACCTTAAAAAATAAGATTGAAAATTTATATTTACATTACTTTTTCTGAAACATTTAAATTTAAATTTTTTATAGAATTCGTCAAAATCTCGAAAAATACAAATTATTTTGTGGTTAGAAATTCATAAAAAATGTTTCGGTTTATATCTAACATAATATTAGAAATGTATAATAACTAAAATTGTTTGTAAACAGTTATTGATGGAGATACTCATTATTAGTAATCATAACGATAATTACCCATCTAGCGAATAATAACGAATATTGGTCGTAACTCACTCTACATTTGGCGCTACTGCCGACCATTTTGGTGATTGCAATTTTCTGTTTTCTATGACGGCGACAACTATAGCCTACTAAAGGCTACAAATAGTAAAGCAAATTAAACTCAGTCAATCTGGTCCAGATGTTGCTCCGCGGTTCATTTGTATGCGCCATTGCAGTGCGCCCTTATATTTTTTGAAACGGAGTATACTAATTAAGTTTTATTTTTCATAAATTCTAAGTGAAGTGTTGATTGCATGGATTTTATAACAATTTCTTTTTTGTCACCACCTTTTAGTGTAATAATAACGCTTCGATTTTTAACTTTCGGAGTCGTTTCTGGTAGTAAATAAATAAATTAGCCTCATTTTGTATTTTGGGGATATCAAAAGTAAAAAACCATCAGTATTTCTCTTAACTCTAAAAACAAATAAAACTGAAAATAAAATACAAGTAAGGTAAATAATATTTTAAGTTCAATTCGATAAAATTATATAGTTAAACGAACATTCACAATTTTAGTAATTTTTTTCAAATTAAAAAATATTATTCAGCACTACTTGAAACATTTGACACATATTATTATATTTCTTACACATTTTTATATATAATGATTTTGGTAAAATCAATTTAACTTACGATTTCTATTATTATTATTAAATAGTTTATTTGAATATAATATATTATAATATATAAAGTGGAAAATTATCTTTGCTTAGAATCGTTTTTACAAATTTTTATTTTCGTTTATTCAAATTAGACATATACATTACAGTGACTTACTGACACATTGAAAATCAGGGATCGGGACTTTATGTATTTACATATTTGTTCGAAAAATAGATAGAAGAATACGGATTCGATTCATATTTATTTTTTTCTATACTTCTAAATTTATATTTTATTATGCATAAGTATGCGCATTAAATCCCGAGTCCTGCTGATAACTGATGAATTACATTTGGAATTTAATGTACATCAAGTGTTTACCTACTTATTCTATAATTTTCATGAAATAATTTTTAATTCAATATTATGTTTACTAATATTATATGTTTAATATTTGAAACAAAATAATAGACAATTTAAAACTACTTGGGTTTACATGTAAGTACCTAAACTAATTTATAGTAACAAAATTAAGTGTTATCAGATTAATTTTTGTTATTTTTATTATATATTTAATCATATGAAATAGTTGTAATTATTTTATAGTTATTACCAGGTGTGTGAATTTAAAACTATGAAAAACCTTCAAAAATTCTTTTAAAATTTCAAAAATGCAAAAAATATGCACTTAAAATGATAAAACTGTAGTATCCTCGCAAACATCGAAAAGGTACTAAACGGCAATAACTTACTAAAATTATTAATTAACCAACTTAATTTGGAAATTTGTGAATAATATATTGATATGTCACAAATAAATAGCAATATTGCCTTATTTTATCCAATCATTAACTTTAACCCGCATACAGCTTGTGTAAAATAAAAATATGTTCTCTAAAATAATTGACAGAACTTGATTAAAAATACGAAAAAATTAAATAAAAATGAAATTATGACCATAAAATTAAAAAATGTCGAATAATTCAAAACAAAAGTTTTATAAATAGATTTTTCGTTACATAATTCAAATTCATAATGAATTAAAAAAAAAAAAACAATTCCTATAAATTTCCACCTCTCATTATTACATATTTGTATACAATATATTATGTTAATATTAAAATTGTGCGATACATAATTATTCTGCGTATAATATGAGGGAGTAATAAACGTCTGATATTTTATATGTATTTATGTAGATGACTTACCATTTATAAATTACGTTCAGGGAATTAGAATTGGTAAGTAATTTAGTGAGGTTATAATTTATATCTTTAAAATATATCTGATACCTGCGCTTAAAAAAAAATATTAAACATATAATACGCTGTTACACCCTTTTCGGCGTGTATCGAATATCTTTTTAATAAATGAGTACAATATAATAATTTTTTTTTTCCATTTATTGTGTGGTAACTCATATTTGCGGATAATTATTATAAAATATTAGCTACTAATGCTGATACTAGTAAACTTGATGAATTCATAATATATTCATTAACCGAAGATAAAAAAAACACGGTGAGTTTTGTAAATTTATATTAAATGTAATACTCATCAATTAAACTGTTTTACCTAAAACAAAACTATTTATAATTTTTTTTTTTTTTTTAATAATAATTATAGCAATAGTTATTAATGTTATTATAGTTCATTTAAGATCTATCTCAATACTTAATGTTTAAGAAACTAAATTAATAGTTATTTGAAATAATTTACATTCAATTCACATTAAATCAAAACTATCAAAATGTAATATTATAAATTATTTAGTTGAAAACCTTAGAAACTAATTAGCATATTAAAAGCTATCGCTAGCATAGTATTGATTATTTTTTAAGACTTTGTAAATGAGAATGAGAACAATAATATTATAATAAATCAATTATAATTTTCAAAGCAATTTCAATATTTTTTTCTTTAAAATACGGATGATATATAGCATAATTTAAGTATAGTTCTATAAATTGTTTATTTACATCTGTGTTAACGTTTATTTTTATTAATAAACATTCCTTCAACTAACCAACTATAAAAATGATACCTGATAACGATATCATAATTCATTTTATTATTCAGTATGTGAAGTATGTCAATAATACACTCCAATTAGAAAATGAAATTAATAAAACGCTTTAGAAATAACCTTATTTAATTTAAATACTTACTGTATATTATAACCATTGAAAGTAAGACACTAGAAAAAACAAGGTATTAATCATTATCGATTATCAACAAGTTTCACACAATGAATGTTAAACAAAAGAAGATGTTGTTATCTTTAGATAGGTATTTGAATAATTAGTAACAAACAGAATTTAACTCACATTCTGCTTTTTGTAGTTCAGTATTTTTTTTTTTTTTGTTTTTTGAAATTATGCAATAATGGTTATGGATAAAATCTTCATTTTTTTTTTAATTTCATGGATTTTCAAATTTTAATAAATTATTGTTAAAATCACAAATCAAAGATTTTTTGTGTTTTATTTTGTTTCCAGCAAAGAGAAAAGTATGGCGATTCAGTACTGGAAGATCATACAATTCGTGGTATGTTATTTAATGCATTTTGATACCTAATCGCTATAGACAATTATCTTTTATATATCATAACCAAAGTTTTAAATTATTCAATTAATCAGGGTTTTGTTGGTTAAAAAAACCTGTTGCTTGTTACAACTATCGACTGTTTACCCAAAGTACATTCAGGCAAACATTTTTAATATCTTATTATAATGTTATATAGACGATATAATTAGGAAATTTTAAAAATAACTTATTGCTGTTATATATTCACAAATTATCATTGTAATAAGCAAGTTTGAGTGTAATAGTTAATTAATGATAGCCAGATAATTTTGTCTAGATAACGGGAATCCTAATTTTATTTTTGTCATTGATGAAAACATTTGTATTGTATTATTATCACGTAGAATTTGACACATATTTTTAAAAATACTGTTAAAAATAAGGAAACTAATATATAGATTATAACTATTTATAATATTTACAATTTTTGACAGAATATACATATACACGCGTACTACTATGAATGTAAAAGTTTTAAACCTAGGCGTAAGTATTATTCTTAAAATGTTTCAGGTTTTATAAGTGTTTGTACGAATTAATAATAAAGTTTGTTTTAAACGTGTTGAACTTTTATTTTTGATTGTATTTTTAAATTTATTATGTAACAAGTGAAAAAGAAAACAGAATCAAATAATACAGTTTTTTATTTCATTTATTACAGCTTCCTTGTTAAAACCAAAAGAATATTGTAAACAAAAACGTGAGTAATAGAATAAATATGTACATAAAATAAATTCAAATTTTTCTAGAATAAATTTTCCATTCTACATTTCTTTACCAAAAAAAAAGTATAAGTCTTTCAAACATTTACAATATGTGTACTGGTGGAAAGTTCTATGGTTTATACTTTTAAAATAACAAAAAAAAAAAAAAAATCGTTAAATGAATGATTACTGTTTTTATTTAAATATCAAATGTTGTCAAAATATACAAATTTAAACTTATGGCGGTAAAAGATGGGGTTTAGACGAATATCGAATTTGTAAATTTGTAAGATGGTTATATATTTAGAATAAAATGCAATAATAATGTCGAGTTTATATTAGATAATATAGCTTTTAGTTTTTGAATATCCCGTAATAAGATAAAATTAATAAGAATATCTATACGAGTACAAAATTAATTTTTAAAACTAAATCAATGTTTATTGTTCAAGTTTAATGTCATTGACGTGTGTATAGTGTGACGTAAACATTATAACATGCTTATTTATGCTCAGTCATTGAAATACATTGAAAATATACGTATTTTGTGTTCAATTAATATAACAATTATTATTTGTCTTTAATCAGTCTCAATCATTAAGTGTAATTAATTGAGAATATATTATTAGTTATTAGGTACTTAAATTGTTAGATTTTGACGAGGTTTTTTAAGTACCTAACTATCGTTAAAAAAAAAAAAATAAAAGAGAATAAAAAAAAAGCACCTTGAAAATATAAAATGTAAGCATGTATAGACTGATTTAAAGAATGGGTCGACTTTGTCAAGAACATGTCTTTAAAAGTATGAGAAATAAATATAAAAAATAATAGGTAAAAATAACTTTTATTATTTAATTTTATTAAAATCCTTAGTAGGGTAAAAAAGCCGATTCAGCATCCCCTCGCAAAACCACAAAAACCATTTCACCCGCCCGTCTTAAATATTTTTCTTAGTTATATTTATATATTATTTTTGACACTTTCTAAACTGTCCCCCCCACCGTCTAGGTATTTCACTTATTTGAATAACGACTATACTAATTAACTGGTTACTGCACTCTGGTATAGACAATTAAAAATAAATGTACTTCGAGTAATTTCTTATTAATAGCTATTACTACTACTAATTGATATGTGTTTATTTGTTAAAAACAAAAAACAAAAAAAAAAAAAAAATGTTTTCGCTTTTCGATAACGAGTGTCATTGTGCAAGTTAAATGTATAAAAGCGTGATATCTTTGCACGATTTAGTAAAGTGTTTTCTTAGTTTATGGAAACAACTTGTGTATTACTAAAATATGATCAAATGCAGAGAATGTGATAAAGTGTATACGATTTTCATCTCCACTAATCATTATCGGTACGTTAGTACTTTTCAACAGGTTACCCAACTTGCCGCCGACAACTGCTGTGATGCTTATCACAAAGTATTTTGTTACATCTTCACATGACGTCGAACCTCGATAAATAATCGGAGACCGTGGAATGTCATATTTATCCAATAACGCTATGGGCACGATTTCCGCTATCTGGCGAAAACCATAACTCATCGGCGTTTATGATCATGTACGACTTTTTGTATTTGAACCTAGCTTCCGTTTTTCGAGAAAGCTTCAAAGTCTGCGTAAATCACAAACGGATGCCGCTGCATGTTTCTCCACCCGTCAAACTTGAGTTAAAGTTCTTCCGGCATAACCGGAACATTGTAATGCAACTGAACGAAGTACATCAGC